ATCTTTATGCTATAATATAGCTTCATCGTTGACAAAGCTTGAACTAGTATTACATAACCCATGTGTTTTTTTATTACAAGAGGTTATTCCATCAAAAGTGTCAATGCATTTCTCTAATAATTCAATCATCTTCCTCAGGCTCTAGTCCTTAAAGACATAAAAAGAATGAAGGAAAAATCTGAATAGTGGAATCTTCTAATATCTTGTTGAAAAAAAAAATGAAGATTACTCGCAAGTTTTTGAACATGTCAACCATATTTTAAGGTTTTTTCTTTTTTTTTAGATATTGATATGCCCTTTTCAAACAATTGATGAAACACTTCCCTAAGCAATCCTAACTTTTCAAGGACGGGACATAAAAAATAGGAATTAAACAACTGAAAACAGCTAGTCATATGGTCAAAAGCCGCTAAATCTATGATCCCCAGATTGATTTCCTCAAGGACAGAAAGTGCAATAGACGAGCTACATTTTGGTGCCACTGAGCTAGGAGACAAATTAGATTTCAACAATTTAGTTTGGTCAAACTATTTTTTGTTGAATTGAGAAGATTTAACCTCATGTGTTGTGGGTGTATTCTAGCCATAGGATTTGATTAACCTATTGTTAGAAGGCTTTCCATGAAGTTTGTAACACATCTCCCGGATATGGCATGATTTCTAGCAGTAATCATAGCATAAATTGTTCTTGTCTCCTATATGCTCATTGCAGAAAAACTTGCTGCTGACTTGTGTTCTAGTAACTATTAATGCATACCCGGGTAGCGCCTGCAATTTTCTTCCCAAGCATTACCTATAACATATCTCCCGTATATGATGCGATGTGCAAGTATTGCTCCAAATTGAGCATCCTACCATGCAAAAAAAAAAAAAAAATGCATGTATAGTGTTAGAGTTATTAAAATTATAATGATGTTACCATATAATATTAACATATGCTCAATATTTCTAATGAAAGTATAATTTTGTCACTAAATATATACTTATATGGAATGTATTCTTATTTATTGTATTTTTCGTATTACCCTATTCTCTTACCTTTACATTAGCATATTTGTACCATCACTAGAATCAATCAAATAAAGATGTAGTATTTTATGGCAAATGTCATGATATCAACACCAGAATCATAAGCCTTTGTCTTGCCACTCACCGCTCTACTCTAGTATCTTGCAAACCTTGTTGTTCATCACTTTCTATTAAAATGGATTATTGTTGTCATCTTTGGCCAAGGACTAGCCCAAGATTTTGGGGATCCACTTAGTTCCACTCCCACTCTTCATCTCCCTAGTCTCGATAGCGACAGCTTTTGTCTTCACCATTTGATCGATGCTCGGATCATGGTCCCACTTTCAGCAACATTTTCAACCAGCATCATCTCTTTTGTCTCCCAACATTTTCAACAATCATCATTTCCATCCTTCATTCTCGACTCATCCAACATCAAGCCAACAACAACGTCTTCCAATCTCATCTCTCACTTCGCACAAAATCTCGGCTCTACTCAAAGCAACTTTGGGTGGGGACCATCACAAGAGCAAGCTCAAAGGTCATTGTCATTGAGGTGACAAATCAACCAATAAGAACAAATGAAGGAAGCTCCCACAAAATAGCAAGTATAATAATGAGAAGCATAAGGAAGATAGGGTCAAGAGAAAAGGTTCATTATATTCACTGTAAACTTAGAAGTTAGTCAAATAGAGATAATAGAAGTATACATCCGAGGAAGAGGTCAAATAGTGGTGTGGCCAAACCCAAGGACTTTTTTTTTTTTTTTTTTTTTTTTTTTTTTTTTTTTAATTATAAAAAAAAAATAAGGGTAATTTATATCATAATATAATATATATATAAGAAGTTAAACTTGTAGCATTGATGAGTCGTGCTAACAATAAAGAAAATAAGATATTATGCTAATTAAACACCACCCAAATCTATATGATTTGGGTCGAATAAAAAAATTCAAAGTTTAGAGTAGCCAAGTAGCATTGTAAGATTGCCTCAAGAGGCCATTCATTGATAAAGTTTCAAGTAAGGCTACATCCCCATAATGTACGTCAAATAATTCCAAACAACCATTATTTATAAAATAAGAATGTTATGAGCTGCAAAAGGAACAAAATGTTCCACATGATTATAAACCATAGGGTTATCTACTTGTAGAAAACTAACTACCATAGCACTTGTGATCCCAACAACTTCAAAGGAGAAGAAGGATGTGAAGAAAGGCACCAAAAAAAAATAACTAATAATTGCAAGAAACCAAAAACAAAAAAGAAACAACCAACATGCCAATCTAGATATTGCAAAAAAAGAAAAAGAAATCATACAGGTTCAAGAAAGCAAAGTCAACACAAATGACACACCAATAGCAAAAGAAGGCTGGTTTGCAAAAGCAAATTGAATCTGCAATGAGGAATCATGGTTCATGAGATAATGGAGCATGGAGGCAATAAAAAATCATGCATGTATATCAGTACATTCATTTGCATGGCAAGCTAGTGTACATGAAAGCACTAACACAAGAGCCAGGATAATTTTTCTTTTATCCCTCTCCATGCATGGGCGAGCCTGAGAAAAAATCAAGGGAATTCCAAATTTAGAAAGGAGGAGAAGATAAGTAGAAGTTTAGAATGAGGATATTACGATTAGGAAGAGTTACTTCAAAAAAGAGGGTGTATCACTACTATAATCCCTATGAATAAAAAGAATATTCCTCCATTAATTATATTCATAATTTGTTAGTTTTAACCAAGTTATCACCTATTTTCCTTTTTATAAATAATAGCGTTTATTGAGCATTTTAGTATGCATGAAATAATCCAAGAAGCAATTTCTCCCCGTCTAGCTCACATTGTAACCCACATCTCCCTCTTCTCCCGAGTGATCAAAGCCTCTCTTGCAATTATGAGCACTGTCTCTCTCTTATTCTCTCTATACACTAAGAAGAGGGCCTTAATTTTGCAAAGTAAAAGACAAGAGGAAGAAAGAATGAGCTAAAGGAAAAAGAGAAGGAAAAAGAGAAGGAAAAATAAAGAATAGAAGGAAGAACATGGGTGTTAAGATTCTCATAATATTAGGAATTACTATCAAAATTGAAAGTAAAACAAGAATTGAGTTACTAATATACTAGTAGTGACACATGTCTAGAGCTATTGGGTTGATTGGTGTCCATCCACTAGTATATTGAGCTCAATTTGGCCTCTCGATGTATCAACCTCCTAACAAATTATTTTGAAGCCAACAGTTTGACTAGGACAAAGTGTGTATTGCACTCCCATGAGCCTAGGAGACTTCCAACATGGTCAAGCAAAATTCAAGAGCTATTGACTCACAAGGGCTTGATAAGGTTAAGTGGGCACTTGGTGTATGAAATTTAATGGTATTGAAAAATTTCATTTGAAGAAGGGTGATGCTTAATTTAAAGGACTCTCATCAAAGGTAATAATGATTAAGATAATAAATGGAATAGAACATAGTCCCGCATCTAAAGTGAAGCAAAAGGTGAGTTACTAATATGCCAATAATGGTCCTTACGTGCTGATTTAAACATTTAGGTCCATGGGCGTCCATCCGCTAGCATATTATGGTCAATTTAAGCCCCTTATTAAGAGCCATCTACAAGAAGTGGAAATTCTCTATGCAAGTCTAGGTTAACTAATTCCTACCTTAATTTCCCTTAGTTCTCCTTGATTACAAGCAAGCATTACCACCAGACCCTCTCGATTTAGCTTTACAAGAGGTCTCTTCCACTAGTTATTCACCTGCAAGAGGGTACAACACAACTACCTACACTAAAAGAACACAATAATATACCCAAAGATACCTAAGTTGTTCCAACAATCAAGTGCTAGACTCATGGTCCTTGTTTGTGGAACAATAATTGCCTTAAAATTTTATATTAAGAGAAAGTTTAATTGCGAAAACATAAAACTTTATAACTCTACTATAATCACTAAAAGTTCTCTTTTGCTACTTAATGCACCAAACACTATCTCATAATGAAAACATGGATTGCCACTAAAGTTTAGAAATCATCTCCATAGCATATGTGGGCATAAATAACATGTTTGTATCAGCTTATTAAGGCGGTTATTGAGTAAATTCTACTTTTAATACCAAAGGTTTGTTTGCCACAATGGCTCAACCCTATGACCACACTGCATGGAAGCCTAAACCATGCCTGTATGGCATTGTTTTGCAAACTCGTTTGACTTCAGTTGGATTTAGTAAATCTGGATTTGATGAATCCTATTTAAACCAGATTTATAGGATCTAGCAAATCCTTCTGTCGATACCAATTCTTAAATATAACCTAATATTAGGTTATTTTGAAGATTTGGCCAAGATTTAGTAAACCTTGAAGAATCTGAACTTGCAAAACCTTAAAACCAAGTTCTGCTGTAATTCGTTAAATTCCGAATTTGATTGTGGATTTATCAAAACTTTAATAAATCTTCAATTTATTTAAGTAGCTTCTTAGATAAAGACTTTTCCATGTGTATCGCATACTGGAAAGCCATACCAAATAAAGCACAAGTCTTTGAAGCTGTCCAAGTTGACCAAATAAATAACACTTTAGAGGTAAGCAAGGTGCTCCATTATAAGAAGCAACATGCATATAAGAAATACCTATATATGCTCACATTAATACAGATGCAGGAACTTAAAATACGCCACAATTTACAGCTTAAGACACTTGGGGACCATGAAGAACCATCAGCATGTCTACTTAAAATGGATATTATTAGTAGTAATAGCATGGAATCCCAGTTAACTTCTGAAACCGGATCATATCAACAGCACAACAAACACGAATGCACACGAATGGCGGTCAACTAGCCCCATGCAAGCTAAAAGCAATTCCACCAGAGAGAAGTAAAATTTTGGTGATACGCGAGAGAAAAACAATAAGGTTTCTAGCAATTGCCACTCACCAGGCTCCACAGAGTACAGAAGAAAACTATATTAAAGTATAAGAAACAACGGGGTAAGGAAACTCACTGGAAGACACGGCCTTCGTACTTGTTCAAGGAGGCGAGAGACAGAGAACCAGTCTTAGGCCTGAGGCACACAGAGTGGATACCAACAGCATCCGGATAGAGACCGCAGAGGAAGTGAAGGGATTCTTCGCGTCCGGGCTTCGAAACGTCAACGTGGAGAAATAGCTGATTGATGGCTTCGTTGTCATCGTCGTCATCAGCCTCGGCACCACTTGGCAAGATGTTTGCAAGTCTCATCACGGAAATGGTGATCTCCTCCCCCTTGTACTCCCGCCGAAGCGCTGGCCCGTCACGATCCAGCGCGCCCTTCACGATCGTAAACGGCGAAGGCGGATTCACTTTCTGCAGAAAGGATTGAGAGTTACTGAAAAACAATGGAAGAAGTATCATCAGACAGAGAGAGAAACACTAAATAATAAGCTAATGAGAATACCGGGGGCGGTGACATCTTGGAGACCTCGAGGTAATGCTCCTTAAGAGAGCGAAGAATAAGGGAGTCGACCGCGGCGGCGGACGAGGCGGAAGAGGTGGAAGAGGATAAGACCCTCGCATCCGGAGAACGCCGGCGCGCAGCCGCCATGGCAGCCGAAGAGAGCGATCTCCTCCACATTTTGCCGGAATACAGTGACGAGACACCTAAATCAGCTCAACAAAGAAAAGGGTTTAAAGGGTTTTGCAGGATTGCTGTTCCGTCTCTGTTATTCACATCATGGGCCGGTTGAGAATGGCAGAGATGGGCCGGATCCGTTAGCAGAACATAATTTTTTTAGTCTTATAATTCAGTTTTGAACTTCGAGAATTATTTGTGCTTACAAATGTCCCCCTTTAATTCATTTTCTTCATGCATGAAAATAAATATGAAATTCTTAAGAAAATATGAGGATTTAAAAATAATATAGGATTTTTTGCGCTTTTCTTGATTTTTTTGTACTATGAAGCTGCTTTAGAAAGCAATAAAAAACTATCTCAAATGAAACATTGGGACAACTTTCTTGTTGTTTCTTAAAACGACTTTCTAGTATAAAAATTTTAATTTTAGTATTAGGAAGCCGTTTTAAGAAGAGGGAAGAAAGCCGTCTCAAACGAAGCCTAACTCAATCTATTATGAAGTAAAAAAGAGAAATAACTTATAATCACAAAAAAAATCACTTGACAAAAGCCTAATTTTATAATAATATGATTACATATAGTGAGACACGTTACATTGTATTTTATGAATTATAAATATAATGATCTATGAAGATATTAGCGAAAAATAGGAGTTCACAATATGAATTTTTGTTGAAAAAGGTTTAAGTATTAAAAATTTTCAAGAGGACTAAGAAAGAATAGGAAGAAGAAACTAAAATATTTAGAATTGAGGTTAGTTAATGGTTAAAAGAAAATATCAGAAATAGAATTCTTGATCAATAGCGAAGCTTTTTATATTGCCATTGTTTGACAAGATGTGTGTTTAATTTGAGAAGCGAGGCGGATGTGTGATAGTTTGAGTTGGATAAAAGTTGACAATATATAAAGGTTTCTTCATGGGAAAGCTAACCCTATATATCTCATATATTTATGTTTCGTATGAGACGGATTTCTTACTGTTTCTTAAAGAAAGTCATCTCAAATGAAGTATTGGGGCTACTTTCTTACTACTTCTTAAAGCAACTTTTTCGTAAAAAAATAATTTTTTTCTACTAAAAAGCTATTTTAAGAAACAATAAGAAAACCGTCCCAAACAATATCTTAGCGAGCACAATAAATATTAGCCATAATAATAATATCATTCGAGCGATGCTCCACATAACTTAAAACAATAAGGACTATTAAGTAGAGAGTTGAATAATAAGAAATTAAAAAAGTTGATCAAATGAGATTGGACTCCTATTTTGATAATATTAGGAGCTTGTAGTCGAAGATTATATTAAAATATATATATATATATATATAGTGGAAGATTATATAAGTGACATATAATTGATACATGGAGGGCTTGAAAATGATATGTGAGCTATGAAATATGAAGAAGATTATATATTTTCTTTCAATTTAAATATTATAAGTGTATGACAGGGATTTAAATAAGATCTGATGACTTGGCTTCCAACAAGCTTTACATTAAACATTAATGATTAACATAATGATGTCCAAGGTTGCTTCAGTCTCTAAATGGAACCAAAAAGGAAATTAATGGAAATTCACACTAAGAAAAAAGATACTTACTAACTAATTTTTTCACAATTAAAATTTCATTTAGAACAACTTTATTACTGTTTTCTAAAGTAGCTTTCAAGTTGAAAAATTTTTTAGCTAAAAATTTTTGTGCAAAAAAAATGCTCTAAAAAGCTATAAGAAAACTGTCCAAACAAAGCCTAAATTCATCAAATTCATAAAATAATGAAATGTTATTAGATCCATTTTAAGTCGAGTTATTAGATCAAATTTAAGGTTAACTCAAATTTTGCTTAACCACTATAGCAAAGAGAAAGTGGATTTGATATTGGAGATTGTTAAAGAAATTTAGTAAAGTATTGAGGTGTTAATGATCTTGCTAATAATGATCATTTTGGGATTAACATAATTGTCATGATTGTATCTAGAAATTAACCCAAATATCAATGAAATGATAATTCACTGACATAAAAATGAATAATCACAACATACTTACTATGTAAATACAAATTAAACAATATCAAGCTAATCCTTCAAGAGAATTTAGCATCAAATATCTCATAGGATTCTTCACTAACAAGAAACGATTAAAAAAAAAAATTCACAACAAAGAAAACCTACAAAGAAGTATAAAATAAGCTTTAGAAGGCAGTGTAACCTGAAGGAGTTTATTATGATTTGGTCATATAACTTACTAAGTCTCTTGCGTGAGATACCTAAAAAATAACAAAAATACGTTGGCAAATGTTGTCAGCAAGAACTTATCGTCGGCTAAACTGACAAATTAGTCGTCGAAAAAGTACTGACGGTATATCCGATCCGACCCTTTTAAACATGCTATGTTAACCTTGACCAAGATATGAACCACTTTGCTATAAATGGATTCGGTTTGTAATTGGGTTAGATTTCTTTATTAGCGGCTGTTTATGTTCTCTTTTAATGATGATTCAAGCCAACAGTTGTGCAAATCAACTCCATAACTCTTGCAAACTCAATCTTCTAAGTTGACTTAAAATTCCAATTATTTGATGGGTTTGGAGGACCTAACTTTTTGCATCATAGGAACCATAAGAGAAAGCTAGCTAGTCATTTTGTTAGATCCAAACTAGTCCATAGGTGACATCATAATTTTATTAATAAAAATAAATCATGCTAGAGAGAAGAAGATCAACAAGGAACAGAGCTTAGGGACAGATCGAGGCTTTGAGATTTTACAAAGATTGCCATAAAAGTACAAGACAAATGCAAAATGGTTTGTCATCTTTGTCTTCGTTTGGGATAGCTTTTTTATTGTTTTCTAAACTAGCTTTTTAGTACAAAAATTTATAGTTCAAAGAGTTGTTTTAAAAAACAGTAAGAAAATTGTTCCAAACGAAGTCATTCTCACCCTCCTATTAATAGCACTACAAGAAAGACAACATTTTGAGTAAAATTAGGCAATAAGGCTCAATAAGTGCTTGCTGTAAAAAATGAGGTAGTTCAAGTGAAGTCCCAAACTGACTTCTCTTACAAGTTGGGAGTTCTAATGAAGTCTTAGGCGACTTTATTTTAGGTTGATTTCTTGAGTGAATTCATTTTGTGACTTGGGCGAGTAATCTTGGTAACTTGGGCAAATATTCTTCATGACTTCAGTGATCTCAGTGCCAATTAAGGGCTAGCAGCTTGAACTCGTTGGCAAGATTATTTGATACATTGTTGACTTCTTTGTGTGGTGAATTAAACCCTTTTAAGTAGCTAACTAGCTTGTCTTGAACTAGGCTTATTTGGATCAATGAAATCGGTCTAACTTGACCAATGTGATATTGGGTATACACAGTTGACGTTTAAATGCAAGATCAATCAGGTGTGTAAAGATAAAGAGGACAACCATTGATCTAAATGGGGAGCAGTTAATATTTTTTTTCGTCTTTTATGGCCTTTCAATGCATACCAGTAAGAACTGACTTTAGGGAGGGGCAAATTATTAGGTGCGGACACCGGACGGAGAGAACTCTCTGTTTTTCTCTGTCTACAATAAAAGTGTAATTATTGTAGCAGCTACACTTTTACTATAGACAGAGAAAAAATCAGACGGTTTTCTCCATCCAATGTCCGCACCTAATAATTTCTCCTATGAAGGGTCAGGACTCGAAATATAAAATATATATTATTTGTAGTTAAACTCCAAGGCAGGAGAGGCCCATCCACAACAGAGGCTCAATAATATAAATATGGAGGATAGGGAGTATAAATAAAACAGCCCTTGTAAACGTAATCAAAAGCCCATGTTGTATCTCAACATCAAAGTGGGGTGAAAATGTCCAAGATGACAGCACTCTTAAAACACTTAGAGCATCTCCAACCAAAACCCCATTTTTCACTCCAAAATGCAGTGAAACTCAAAAATGTTGTGATTCATCTCACATTGAAATCCATTTTGCGTGTTTTTGAAAAGGTAACCGTCTTTCTCATCTTTCGCGTGTTTCTTCGGCAAATCCGGTTGAGACAGAAAAATCGCGTAGGTGAACAGTGCAACGCCAATATTGACATCGCGCTATTCACCCGCAAGCAAATAACGGAATATTTGGCGTTCGGCTGGAGCGGCAGAACGACACCATACGCATATTTAACGTTCGGTTGGAGATGCTCTTATAAAAGCAACAACTCCGAGCAGTTTGAAAACCAGAATGCATCCTCTCAAAAGTAAGAAAGCATCACTGAGTAAAGGAATATGGGAATTATCATCTGAACCTTCTTAGAATGAAATAAGAAATATCATCAGCCCATTAAGATGTTGCCATTTAAAGACCTTAAATTTGTCTAACTTAAAATTTTTATAAAGTTCAATAGAACAGCAGGGCTAGCTATTGTTCTTCTCTTTTCAAATATCTTTAAAACTCATTGCATATCTATAAAAATCTACTAGATCTACTGCGGTAAAAGCTTTTGCAGACCTTTCAGTTACATTTTATGATATCCATGTTAGTTTATAATTTACAGTTCATCCTTCGAACTACATTTCTGTTATAAACTGGCGAGTTCTGTGCTGCCTTAATAATACTCCATGCTTGAGAGGCATTAAGCTTGAGAGGCATTAATGGCTGCATTGATTGCGACTGCTACAGTGGATTCGGTGGCAGTTCCTTCTTTGTTGGATTCATTGTATAGATGAGAAGGTTCATCTGTATGGTCAATTTCACTAAGTTAATATCAAATCACTGCCTGCCTTTGTCTCTCTTCACATGCAGTCGCCATCATTTAATATGGAAAGTATTCGAAAATAATGCTAGCTGTGAATAATATTTGCGTTCCTAATATTATCCATCCTGTTAAGAGTAGATGTGATTGGAAGCTTTTTATTTTTCAATGATAATGTCTAGAAGATTGATGTAATTGTCCTTTTTGTTAGGTATATAAACTTTTTTTTTTGGGGAATACTGATAAAGTTTCCAGAGAAAGCAGAGGCTATGATTTCGTTTTGGACGATTTTTTTTACTGCTTTTTAAAAAAAAATTGAAGTTCAAAAAAATAAAATTTTATACTAAAAACTACT